GTTGTTGTCATCGTCGTTGTCGTTGTTGTCGTCGTCCTTGTAAACTTTTCACATTTTCATCTTCTTCTCAATAACCACTGGGCCAATTTCAACCGAACTTTCAACCAAAAGTATCCTTAGGTGAAGGGGATTAAAGTTTGTTCAGATGAAGGGCCATGCCCTCTTCCAAGGGGAGATAATTATGAATTAGTGAAAAAATAATGGCATCTTTTTAAATTTTTCTTCTCCAGAACCACTGGGTCAGGAAAGATGAAACCCATGTGGAAGCATCCTCAGGTAGTGTAGATTCAAGTTTGTTCAAATCATGACCCCCGGGGTTAGGGCGGAGCTACAATGGCTGATCAATTTTTTACATAGGAATAGATAGGATAAATCTTTAAGAATCTTCTTCAGAACCATGGGGCCAGGAAAGATGAAACTCAGTTGGAAGCATCCTCAGGTAGTGTAGATTCAAATCATGACCCCCGGTGGTAGGGCCGGGCCACAATTGCTGATCAAAGTTTTACATAGGAATATATAGGATAAATCTTTAAAAATTTTCTTCTCCAGAACCATTGGGCCAGGAAAAATGAGACTCATGTGGAAGCATTCTCAGGTAGTGTAGATTCAAGTTTGTTTAAATCATAACCCCTAGGTTTTACAAGGGAATACGTAGGAAAAATCTATAAAAATTTACTTCTCAAGATTAGCAAAGCCATGATTGGCGATATTAATATGGAAACATCCTTAGTTAGAGTTAATTCAAGTTTGTTCATATCATGACCCCTGGGGGTAGGGTGGGACCATAATGGGCAATCAAAGCTTTACATAGAAATAAGGGGTGTTAAGAAAGTTCGTTTCAGGATGATATATTTTCAAAAATTTCAAGGTAGTGCTTAACTAAAGAGATGAATTTTCAAGTCTGACAAAATCAAAAGAGTGTGTTTTAGATTTATAGCAATACATTTCTAGCAGGAAATTATAGGATTTTTCTTCCATATGAAAATATATATAACATTTTTAAAACACCCAAATGATAGAAATGTTGGTCATTTTGATGAAAATAAAGGATAATCTACTGTTGTTTCTCCATAGCGTATCTTGCATCAGGCAAGCTGATGAGTGTAGGTTTAAGAACGATAGATCACTTTTCAGTAGAATAGGTTTGTCGTTTTGAAATTTTTCACAGATTTGATAATTTTTGCATAATATTTGAAAAAATGTTTTGACCTGTGTGCTTAATATATGTCAAAATATGCGTCATCCCTAATTTTTCTGAACAGACACCATCGGTCTTAATACCTTCCCTCCCTTATTAATTCAACAAAAGACAGTTAAAACCTTATCAGTAGCAAGAATGGACTCTGTAAACATGAAATATCACAAATTGTAAATATCTTCTCATCCTATTTCTTTTTGAAAATAAAAGAAAACTGTGGAACGAACTTTCTTAACACCCTTTATATATAGGAAAAATCTTTAAAAATCTTTTTTTTTTCAAGAACAACAAAGCCATGGCATGATTGGTGATATTTAGTTTCAAGATAATTTAAATAAGAATTCTTGGTGGTAGGGTGGGGACACAATGTGGGATCAATTTTTAAATAGGAATATATACTAAAGTATCTTTAAAAATTTCCTGGAGAACACCAAATCCATGACTAGTATTTTATTATATGGAACTAATGGAAGCATCCTCAGGTGGTTTGGATTTAGGTTTGTCCAATTTATGACCCCCGGAGTTAGGGTGTGGCCACAATGAGGGATCAAAGTTTTGCATAAGAATATATAGGAAAAAAATCTTCTCCAGAACAGAAAAGTTTTGTTTAGTCAAATTGACATGTAAGCATCTGCAAGTAGTGAAGATTTAAATTAATTCAAATAATGTCCCGGAGGGGGGGGGGTAAGTGAGGGGTCACAATGGGAGATCAAGTAATGTTTGGAAAAATCTTTGAAAATCTTCTTTCTGAATATTGCAAAGTTATACATGTATGCTTTATTGATATAGTGACATTCTCAAGTAAAAGAAAATTCAAATCCCCCCTCCCCAACAAGTAAACTTTTCTATACTGAGCTGATTTGTGTTTTTTAACTAGTCCAAGTGCTCAGGTGAGCGATGTGGTCCATGGGCCACTTGTTATACATAACTCCTCCTAAACCAGTCAATAGAATTTAATTAGACTTTCACAGAATCTTTAATGCAGAGTGTCATTTTGCATGCATCTCTTACTTAACATTTTGATTTAACAGCTATTTGGGTTTTCCCATAGCAAACGCGGATTTTTTCTTTAATCTCTATCAAGGGATTGCTCATTTATGTTATGTAACTCCCTCTAAACCCTTGAATGAAATTCAATAGATTTTTCAAAGAATTCCAAAGATTCTGAGAAAGTTCCTTTGAAACCATTTATATTTTTCCAAGAAATTCATGACGTTTTGTTTTCCTGATAAACATGTCATAAAAACACGAAGGTCCTTCAAAACCATCCGATGTTGTATTGAATTTATTGGTCTGTTTTCACATTACCTAAATTTATTGGTTCATGTCCGAAAATTGAAATCAGGTTTATAAACATTTTGTGTGTTTCTCAGTTTTAATTGGTACTTATTTTACGAAATAAATATTCATATTCTCTACATAATTATTTCGAAGTTGATATTAAAAAGATGACCTTAATTTTCATTAAAATTGATTGAAATTAATTATCTATGTACTTTTCGGAGACCAAGTCTTTCAGCAATCTTTTGGAGTTCCCATGGGTATAATAATTATGCATTCTTGAAATACCGGTATATGGAGATAACGAACAGTAGTTCCTCTCAAAAGTCCATTAGACAATACAAAAAAGGAGCAGGGCAAACACGGACCTCCAAAACATCAGAAGTGGGATCAGGTGTCATGGAGGAGTGAGCATACCCTGCTGATCGGTTACACCCGCCGTGTGCTCCTTGTCATGATGGGGAAATAATAGGAAATCTATCATCAATTCAGCTCACAAATAATGGACTAACAATAAGTATGAAAAACGTCAGCCAGCATTTGACTTAATGATAAATTGTATTTGCTGACAAGGTCATTGATTCGACCATAGAACTTACGAGTGATGACCTTAAATGACACTGCTATTATTCTTGTTTCATTAACTTGTTTGTCAATAATTTACCTCGTTTTAGAAATTGTACATACGTATAGCATGCTCTTGCATATCGATTCAGCTGAGAGATATAAACTCCATATGCAGTTGATGAAGGTATATTGCTGCATAAGTAAGGGATGTTGACGATAGAAAAGTTAAAGTCATCACATTTATCATAGAGCTTAGTTGTTAGAGGACCATTAACGTCTTTTTCAATTAAAATATCCACATATGATACAGCTAGATGTGTCAGACTCTGTAGTATCTTTTAAGTTATGCTCACCAGGATATATCGTATCGACAAAAGAATGGAAATAACCATTGTTAATTGACAATACGTGGTCGATATATCGAAATGTGGAGTTAATTGTTCCGACTGGCTTCAGCTAGTGTTTTCTTCTTTTCAGGTATATATATGATTTGGACAAATTCTGCTTCATATGAATTCAAAAATAGGTCTGCTAATAACGGAGCGCAATTGGTAGCCATGGGAATTCAAATAGATTGTTGGAAGACCTTGTCTCCAAAAACCACATAGATATTGTCAATTGGAAACTCAAGCATCCTTTTTATGACAACTTCAGAGTACTGTCATGTTGTAAATTTTGAATTTACCGGGTGGCAGTAAATACAAAATTTACAACATGACAGTACTTCAGAGCTCACTCCTCCATGACACTTGATCCCACCTCTGATGTTTCGGATGTTTGCTCTGCTCTGTTCAACTCGACATCTAGAAATATCGACGACGTTTGTTTTCTCAGCTGCATATTTCCATTGTTATGTCTATCCGATATATCCCGGTGAGCTTTAAATAAAAAAATACCAGAGAGACTCGCACATCTGATTTATGTATAGATATTTTAACTTAAAGAAGTTAATGGTTACATGTATCTGACAACCTATCTTAGTGGTAAACGTGATGAGGATAATCGTCAACTTCCCTTACTTATGCAGCAATACGCCTTATGAAATGAACAATTACTAAAAAAAGGTAAATTACTACAGACAAATTGCTGAAACAAGATCGAATATCAGCAGTCTCGTTTTAAGTCATCATTTCGTAAGTGGTCGATTCAGTGACATACAATTTAACATTGAGTCCATCGTCGCAATTAAACCATGGCCAAAATGTACGATCCTCTCCCATTCTGGTAGGAGAGAGCTATATATGCGGACTCCGAACCGTGGCTTGAGACGATCGATGCATTGAGTCAAACATACTGAATTGTCTACGGATTTTCCCATTATTTCCCGATTTTGACAATGAGCACACGGCAGCTAGGGGATGCTAACTCCTCCATAGCACCTGATCCCACCTCTGATGTTTCGGTGGTCCGTGTTGGTTCTGCTCCAATTTCGTATTGTTAAATGGGCTTTTGAGCTTGAATATTGTTCGTTATCTCCATAAATTTCATTGAAAGAAGGTGGAACCCCCTCTCCCTCCCCGAAAATGTACTGGAATAAAGTTTAGAGGCAATTTGTCGCCATGTGTGTTAATTCATGTAGTTAGTATTACACTTGCAATCACATGTCCATTGATTCTTTGGGTCAAATTGGGATGCGATCTACCTGGTAGAAAGAAAGAAATCTTGCTTAGATTTTTATTTATTTATTTGGAAGTGATTCCCTTTTTGCAGGGACCTATATTAGTATATATAGGAAATGAGGAAAAAATTTTTTTTTTAATTCTTGATTTATAATAATATACGTAACATCGCTGACACATTTATGAATGTATAAATGTATGTTTATCATGATTATTGAGTGATGCATTGCTGCAAAGCTGAATGAAAAATGGGGTCAATGGAAAACCGAGCAAGTCAGGAGTCTGCGGTACTAGTTTTACCCATTGCCTGTAGAATCGAAAGTGAGCATGTGCAATGAAAACGGAAGTACTTCGACAATGTGTTTTGCATGATACATCATACGACAGAATAAGATTTACTAATTCAGTTCTAAGCAATGCACATCACAGTTACCACCCTTTCTGATCAAATATTTTCACTGGATGTTAGTGAAGATTTAGAACTCGAAAATTTTAAAGCATTATGTGAATTTGAAATAGGCATTTCGGCTTCTGAAATAGCAATTTTATGGAATGGTCGACCACTCCACGATGACAAGAGAACACTGAAGTCATATGGGATTAAAGATGGAGATATGTTGTTGTTGCAGCACATGCATGGCGTTCCACAGACCCCCCATAGTCCTCAGCAGCCGGGGCCAGGTTATACCTAACGCACTTATTATAATCAGAAGTTTATTTCCAATCTGTAGCACACGTGTCACAAACCTCCCATTCGTATTTTGACAAGGATCTGTTTTCTCATATAAAACTCTAGTGTCAATTCACAAAAGTGATGTTACATATTGAAAGGCATAATTAATACTGACCAAAGAAATTATTGTCAGAGGCCTTAAATTCGTTATCATGGTTATGGTCCCAGAGTTGTGCCTCTTTTATTTTTCTCGAGTATATTGCAAGATTGTGTCCAAGCACAGCAAACATCGATAGTTAGAAAAAAATCATTTGGATTGATAAAAACCAAGGTGTGACACACAAAATGAAACAGTATTTCAAATTTTACGAAAGGGACATTCTCAAATCTGGGTAGCGACTTGTGGACCTCTGGGGATATTAAGGTTTTCTTCACAAAGATGGAGGGTATTTATCCAAAGAAGTATAATTAACTAACACAAAAATTCCTTTAAACAAAAGGGGTGGGGTAGCAGAGTTCTTGAAAACTGTCAAAGCATTAGTCAGAGTCTTGATGGACAATTTTTTTGGAAGGACTGCCAAAAGTCTTGCAAATGTTAGCCTCCAAGACTGACAAGAAAAAAATATTGATGGTTTTAAATATATTCCAGGAATTGTAATTGTCAATTGTGAGATATCTTTTTCATTGTAGGTGTTCCACTGATTGATTTTGGGAGTATAAATATACCAGGACAACCTCAGGGCCCCAGTGGTGCATCAGGAGGAGCCCGTCAACCTCTTGCCCCTGACGACCCTGAGGTCATTCGACAGATGCTGCTTAACAGCCCTCATGAATTGTCTCTATTAAAAGAAAGGAACCCACCCCTAGCAGATGCTTTACTTAGTGGAAACAAAGGTTAGTGTTAATTGTGTGTGAGAGAGGGGAAGAAAGGGAGGGGGTTTTAATTAACTGTTGTTTTTAATAGTTTCACATATTACTGAAATGTAAATTGATTGACATTTACGTGCACTCTTGATTCAAATGAAATCAACATTTTATATTCAGTTTCTGAAAATAATTTTGTTTCAAAATGATATATTACCTTTATTTAGAAAAGTTTGCTGAGGTTTTCAACAAACAGCGACAAGAAAAACTTGAAAAAGAGAGAGAGAAAATACAGCTGATGAATGCTGACCCATTTGATCCCAATGTTCAAAGTGTTATTGCAGAAGAAATAAGGTTTCTGTTTAAAAATTTTGCTACTCACTCAATGTTTAATTAGATTTATATTAGACTGGTAATATAATCAGAATATTTGAATGATAAATTCAACTTTTGCTGCTCAGAATGAAGAATGTGGAGTCCAATATGGAGAGTGCGATTGAGTTTGCCCCAGAGAGCTTTGGACAGGTTGTGATGCTGTACATTGACTGCAAGGTTAATGGACATCATGTCAAGGCCTTTGTGGACTCAGGTTAGGAATGAAGAATTTTTTTTATACGATTATTTCAGAAATGAATCATTTCATTTTTCTTTGATTAAGATATTGGGTGAAATCAGGTACACCTTTGTTTTTTTCTGCTGTTGTTGACATTGTTAAGTTTTTTCACATTTTCATCTTCTTCTCAAGAACTACTGAACAAATTTCAACCAAATTTGCCACAAAAAAACCTTTTGTTAAGGATACACCAAAGGCTTTTTGCAAGATTTTTGTAAATTTTGAGATTTTTGGCTAAGAAAATAATGCTAATCACTGCTTTATAATGCATGAAAAATTCTTGCTGATTATTAAATGGTTTTCTAATTATTTAACAATAATCAAACATAAACACTAACACATGTGAATGTGCCGGTATTGAAGCTTCTGATTTGGTCTGTAACTGCTTGCTTCTGAAAGGAGCAATAAATCACTGTGACCACTTCACACATTGCCCATAGCCACACAGAGGTTATCAATAATTAAAGAACAGGGGCTCAGATTTAGGGAAGGAGATCTAACAGGTCACTGACCATGAAAAATTTGGAGCTTAACTCTTGCCATTTTGCCAAATCTTTCTGATGAATAAACCTATTTTACCTCATTAAACACAAATATAGAATGACCTCCCATTCTTGTGAATATGCATTGAAAATATGGATAAGTGACAAGGTATCTGGAAGCTGAATCTCCAAGGTGTCATATATTTCTAGCTTTGGCAGAATTTGTTGTGTAATGGGTTTTTGCCCTCTACTGTAAAGTGTGTCAGACAGTTGGTGGTATTATTTCAAAGGATTTAGCTCCCTTATTTATTGACCAATTTCTCTGAAAAATGGCCAGAATGTGTCTCAAATGTGTGTTCACAAAACCATATCTCAGATTTTTGATATCTTGCTCAGTTCTTCAATTATTGGGAGAAATGTAGAATTGGGCCAATAAATTGGTAATATTGAAAGACAAATGGATGCAACTTTTGAATAAGAAGATTTATAAAAAATCTGAGATACAGTTTTAAAGTTCAATCTTTAATCTACACTAAGGCAAAATTTTGACTTTTAGAGCCGGAATACAAAAAAGTTGATTTATAAAATATAAATGCACTAATATTTACATTTAAATATTAACAATTTTTCTGTAAGATAAAAATGAAAATTTAAAATAAGATCATTAAATAGTAAATTTAATAAGCTTTCAAATGATGTATACTTTTAATATGTTATCTTTGTTAATGAAAGAATTACAAGCAAATTAAATTCTGTCCTTTGGAAACCTTTGGTGTATCCTTAAATGGAATCAAGGTTTTTGAGGCGCATCGTTTTCGATGCAGCCTCATTGCGATCACCTGGCAATTCTTTCTTATCTAAACTGCGGCGGCAAAGGACTCAACAATATTGATTCTTAACACGTTATTAAAAATAGTGCTAATGTACATTGACAAGTTGGCGATATCCATTGTTAATTTTAAACTGCTAATAACACAAAATCTCACACATACATGTTGTTTTAACTTTGAATCAACAGAGGTTACGAAACCTGAGAAAATAAACAATTAAAACAAAGAGAGAAAACAACAAACGTGCACTGCGCGGAGTAAGATCTATTTGCATAACAACAGCTCGTACTATGAATTACTCGGTTTTGTATCGGGTTCATAATAAACCGTATACCACGCCCGATCATTTATTTTAGTCCCGTATAATTTACATGAACATTTCATGTATATAACATTTGTTATACATTGTGCCATTTATATTGGGAAAAAGTTAAAAACAAGGAAGTGATATTTATAAAAGTGCACATAATGAAAGAAACTGAAATAATTCAGATATGAAATTATATAAATTTATTCAATAATCATTACTAGTAATTTCTATATTGACATTCATTATTTCATCTTCCTAATAGTCAAAGAATAAAAATTAAAAAAGAAGTCAAATACAATTAAAATCAATTATGATTCAATTTAAATATCAATGAATTATAACCGATATATCTTTTTTAAAAAAAGTTTTTCCTCTCCTGATTGATTGGCTAAAATTCAGAGCCATGGCTCAATTTTTTTAACCTCAAAAAACGTTAGTTATTTTTTAAATTCTTATTCCTGGATTATTTCATTCCCTTAACAGATGTTGAATATCTCCAAGAAAAAAAAAGTTTTATACCCTCAATGCGATGCGCCTCTCAGGCCGTCAGGCCTTTGATTTTAAATGAAGGGTTACACCCTCTGTCAAGGGGAGATAATTCAGAAATAGTGAAAAATTGATGGCATCTTTTAAAATCTCTAAAGAACCACCGGGCCTAAAAACTTCAAACTAATATGAAACCTTTACTAGAAGGTTGGCCACAGTGGGTCTTCAAGAACAGCAAAGCCATGATTAGTCATATTGATATGGAAAGCATCCTTAGGTAGAATATATAGATTGGAATGTTGGCACTGGGAGGTAGGGTGGCCCACAGTGGGGGATCAAAATTTTACATAGGAATAGAAAGAAATTAAAAATTTTCCTTCTCAAGAACAGCAAAGTCATGGGTAATCATATTGATATGGAAGCATCCTCAGGTAGTATAGATTTGAATTTTTTCACACGCTGACCCACTGGGTAGGGTGAGGCCACAATTAAGGATAAAATTTTATATAGGCTTATGTAAGAAAGTATCTTCTTCTCAAGAACAGCAAAACCATGTGGTGTCATATTGATATGAAAGCGCCCTCATGTAGTGCAGTTTTATTAATTTTTTTCAAATGGGGGTAGTATGGGCCACAAAGGGGATCAAGGCTTTACATATAAGAAAATGTTTTGAAAAACTTTTTTAAGAACAGAAAAGCCAATTGTTATATTAATATGGAAGCATCCTTGGGTAGTGTAGGTTCAAGATTGTTTAAATCATGACCCCTGAGGGATAGGGAGAGGCCACAATGGGGGTCAAATTTTTAATACAATGGAATTCATAGGAATTCAAAAATCTTTATAAAAATCTTCTGTTTACGAACAGCAATCCATTAGTTATATTGATAGGGAAACATCTTCAGGTTGTGTAAAATTCAAGTTTGGCAACTCCCAGCCCCAGTGTAAACTTTGCAATACCAAACTGATTTGTGCTTTTTCAGAGCCAATGTGCTCAGGTGAGGGATGTGGCCCATTGGCCTCTTGTTAAAGTTAGACTTGACATATGTCATTCATTCCTTACTTAATGGTTTAGGAGCCCAAATGACCATAATGAGTCAGTCCTGTGCTGAGAGGTGCAATATTATGAGATTAGTCGACCAGAGATGGGCTGGTATTGCCAAGGGAGTGGGAACACAGAAAATCATTGGAAGAGTGCATTTAGGTAAGGAATATTTAAAAAGTGCAGTGCTTGTTAACTATCTTGGATTTTGAAAGTACATGTGTGATTCTAGTGCTTGATCAATTTTATACATATGTTGAAAGTATATATTCGTACATTTCTTCAATACATGTAATTTATTCTAGTGATAAAGAGGACATATCAGTTAAGAATACTGTTTTATTCTGAACACCTTTAGGTCAGATTCAGATAGGCAATGATTTCCTTCAGTCCTCTTTCTCAATACTAGAGGATCAACCAATGGACATGCTTTTAGGACTGGACATGTTGAAAAGACACCAGGTATTTATCACATGTACAAATTCATTGGTAGTTTCAACAATCACTTGACTTCAATACTGTACATCACTTAATTTTCGCGACACATTATTTTCGCGAGATAGTCATTGACTCTTTATTAGTGAGACAAAATTTTCACGAATTGTGGTCATTGCTCTATATAATCTTAAGGGATACTATTAAACACGAGAATGAAATTTTCGCGAGTATATTGTCTTGTGTTTAATATTTACGCGAAAATATTGGTTCTTGCGAAAAATAATTAGTGATTTACATTTATAGCAACTTTGATTATGTTACGCCTCAAAATCAGTTTGTCATTTTTTCTGAAAAATACTGTAGATCACTAAATTTTCGCGACATCTTATTTTCGCGAGATAGTCATTGACTCTTTATTAGCGAGACATAATTTTCACGAATTGTTGTTTTTCCTCTATATAATCGTAAGGAATACTTTCAAACGCGAGAATGAAATTTTCGTAGCATTTTTAATTACGCGAAAATGAATAAAACGTGATTTAATATTCATTTGCATTATTTGATTTTCCACATCACAGTGGCTCTTATGTGTATTAAGCACACCAGTCCTGGTGCTAAATTCAAAAATAAAATTAACAATAATGAAAAGAATGAATTAAAGAATGTAAAAATAAGCACTAATTCTTATTTTGAGTGAAGTCAGTCCTACAGCAGCACTTGGCTCTGTCACATCTGGTCCTGCCAACAAATTGAATACAGTGTGTTCCAAAAATACAAATCCATGCTTATTTGAAACCCTCTATATAATGTCAAGTATAGCTCTATTCAAATTTACAGGTTTAAAATGAAAGTTTGTATATTTTTTGCTAGTGTTGTATTGATCTAAAGAATAATGTGCTCATAATCGGAACAACGGGAACTGAAACTCGATTTCTGAGCGAGTCAGAGCTCCCTGAACAGGCTCGACTCAACTTCAATCAAGCCATGTCACCCAAATCCCAGCTGTCAGAGGATGCTCAGTTAGCAGAAGCTATTGCCAAATCACAAAATGAAAGTAAGGAATGAAGAGAGAGAGAGAGAGAGAGAGAGAGAGAGAGCAATGTTAACTTCTTTATAGGCAAAAACAATCTTAATAAAGCTTGAATAATGCAAGGCTTGTACAATATTCTATAGTTAAATGCTTTCAAAGAAATTACAAGAATTGATCTTGTTTCACATGACTCTGGATATTTGTGAAAGCAGCACTTAAAGATTATGATTCAGAGAAAAATAAATAATTTTCAATATTCCTTTTCAGCCTCCCAGCCCGGTCCCTCTAGTGACAATAAAACTGTGACCCCAAGTGCCTCAGTAAAACCAGACTTCCCGGAGGAGGTCATTCAGAGACTAATGAAAAATGGATTCTCTAGACCAGAGGTGTTACGGGAACTCGCCACGGCCAATGGCAATGCAGACAAGGCATTAGCTGCACTGTTCGCAAAATCCTTCCAGCTTCCAAAGTAACGACAAAGAAGTAGTATGAATGTGATGAGTGGGTTAGCATGTGATTATAATCATGGAGGTTGTTTGTTATTCATCAGGGCCATTAGAAATCAAACTTTATGTAATGTGATGTAAAATCATTCTTTGTTTCTCTCTCCATTAGTATTTGTCAACTGAATGTTTTACTTTGTTGTTTATACATGAGTTACCCTGTCTTATAAAACTGCACTTTCTTGTTAATGAGTTTTTATATGATGCCCTTGTTTAAGCTCAAATAAAATTTTGACACACAACATTACATAGTTTTACATACTAGTATATTTATAAAGGACAGTGTATGATATCTTTTATAGTTTAGCAAACACTTCAGTTCAATTATCAGTAGCGAATTAATATTAAGCAGAGATATGACAATTTTCATTACAAAGTTTGATTAACAGGGGATTACTGTACTTTGTTTACATTTTAGTTTTGAACAAATTGCATGTATGTAACAGTCTTTTATTTACACAAATTAAACATTGAAATGAATTGTGCCTTGATTTTGCAGGTGATTAAAAAATTATTCTATTCATTTAATTTTTCATGAATAAAACAATGTAAGCATGGTAGTGAGAATACATGCTTGGGGATGAAGTTTGATAATACTGTAAAAATACTTCTTCCAGACTTGCTCCAAATTTTTGAACTGACAGACATATTTTCTTGATAATTAAGTGAACAGGTTAAAGTTTTTTATAGCAGGTCCATCCTCAAGTAATAACTATAAGTCCTAAGTAAACCCAAATTGCAGGGATGGGCATCGATCTAGGGTACTCCTACAAGTAAGAGCCTAGGTTAACGTCCCTACGCTCCTTATATACTTCGGACAAGGTTACGCGGCGCCAAGTCAAAAGTATCTCGCCGTGAACCTCTAGCATGCTGGAGTACGATCTAGGGATGCACTAGGGATGCACTCATTTACTAGAGGGAAAATGATGTGATATTTGCTTTGCTTATTGACAACATTTGTAGAGGTGAGCTGCGTAATTTTTGAATACCTATGTTTTAAGCTCACCTGAGCTGAAGCCCATTGGGCCAGGAAAGATGAAACTCATGTGGAAGCATCCTCAGATAGTGTAGATTCAAGTTTGTTCAAATCATTACCCCTGGGGGTAGGGTGGGGTCACAATGGTTGATCAAAGTTTTACATAGAAATATACAGGAAAAATCTTTTAAAAATCTTCTCACAATCAGCAAAGCCATGATTGATGATATTAATACGAAAACAGCCTTATTTAGAGTTTATTCAACTTTGTTTTCATATCATGACCCCTGGCGGCCATAATAGGCAATCAAAGCTTTACATAGAAATATATAGGGAAAATTTTTTTTAAAATCTTCTCAAGAACAGCAAAGTCATGGCATGCTTGGTGATATTTATATGGAAGCATCCTCAGGTAGTGTAGTTTTAAGATTGTTCAAATCAGAATTCTAGGGGGTAGGGTGGGGACACAATATGGGATCAATTTTTACATAGGAATATATAATAAATTATCTTCAAAAATTTTCTGGAGAACACCAAATCCATGATCAGTAACTTTTTTATATGGAACCAATGGAAGCATCCTCAGGTGGTTTAGATTCAAGTTTGTTCAAATCATGAACCCCCCCCCCCCCCCCCCCCCAATGAGGGATCAAAGTTTTGCACAAGAAATGTGGGAAAAAATCTTCTCCAGAACAGGAAAGTTTTGTTCAGTCAAATTGACATGTAAGCATCTGCAAGTAGTGAAGATTTAAATTTATTCAAATAATGTCCCCGGGGGGGGGGGGGGGGGGGGGGGAGGGGTTAGCAAAGGGTCACAATGTGAGATCAAGTAATATGTTGTGAAAAAAATTCTTTAATAGTCTTCTTTTCAAGTATGGCAAATTTATACATGTATGCTTTATTGATATAGTGACATTCTCAAGTAATAGAAAATTCAAGTCCCCCGTCCCCCAAAAAGTAAACTTTTCAATACTTAGCTGATTTGTGTTTTTAGCTCACCTGAGCCGAAGGCTCAAGTGAGCTTTTCTGATCACATTTTGTCCGGCGTCCGTCTGTCTGTCCGTCTGTAAACTTTTCACATTTTCGACTTCTTCTCAAGAACCGCTGGGCCAGTTTTTTGCCACAGAGTATCCTTGGGTGAAGGGGATTCAAGTTTGTTCAAATAAAGGGCCACGCCCTCATTCAAGGCGAGATAATTGAGAATTAGTGAAAATTTGGTGGTATGTTTTAAAAATCTTCTTCTCAAGAACCACTGTGCCAGGAAAGATGAAACTTATGGGGAAACATCCTCAGGTAGTGTAGATTTAAGTTTGTTCAAATCATGTCCCCCGGGGGTAGGGCGGGGCCACAATGGCTGACCAAAGTTTTACATAGAAATATATAGGAAAATTCTTTAAAAATCTTCTTCTCAAGAACAGCAGAGCCATAATTGCTCATATTTATATGGAAGCATCCGAAGGTAGTGTAGATTCAAGTTTGTTCAAATCGTGACCCCCAGGGGTAGGGCGGGGCCACAATGGCCGACCAAAGTTTTATATAGAAATATATAGGAAAATTCTTTAAAAATCTTCTTCTCAAGAACAGAAAAGTTTTAATTGCTCATATTTATATTAAAGCATCCCCAGGTAGTGTAGATTCAAATTTGTTCAAATCATGACCCTGGGGGTAGGGCGGGGCCGCAATGGCCGACCAAAGTTTTACATAGAAATATATAGGAAAATTCTTTAAAAATCTTCTTCTCAAGAACAGCAAAGCCATAATTGTTCATATTTATATGGAAGCATCCCCAGGTAGTGTAGATTCAAGTTTGTTCAAATCGTGACCCCCGGGGGTAGGGTGGGGCCACAATTACCGACCAAAGTTTTACATAGAAATATATAGGAAAATTCTTTAAAAATCTTCTTCTCAAGAACAGCAAAGCCATAATTGTTCATATTTATATGGAAGCATCCCCAGGTAGTGTAGATTCAAGTTTGTTCAAATCGTGACCCCCGGGGGTAGGGTGGGGCCACAATTACCGACCAAAGTTTTACATAGAAATATATAGGAAAATTCTTTAAAAATCTTCTTCTCAAGAACAGCAAAGCCATAATTGTTCATATTTATATGGAAGCATCCCCAGGTAGTGTAGATTCAAGTTTGTTCAAATCGTGACCCCCGGGGGTAGGGTGGGGCCACAATTACCGACCAAAGTTTTACATAGAAATATATAGGAAAATTCTTTAAAAATCTTCTTCTCAAGAACAGCAAAGCCATAATTGTTCATATTTATATGGAAGCATCCCCAAGTAGTGTAGATTCAAGTTTGTTCAAATCGTGACCCCCGGGGGTAGGGCGGGGCCACAATGGCCGACCAAAGTTTTATATAGAAATATATAGGAAAATTCTTTGAAAATCTTCTTCTTAAGAACAGCAAAGCCATAATTGCTCATATTTATATGGAAGCATCCCCAGGTAGTGTAGATTCAAGTTTGTTCAAATCGTGACCCCCGGGGGTAGGGCGGTCCAAAAATTTATATAGAAATATATAGGAAAATTCTTTAAAAATCTTCTTCTCAAGAACAGCAAAGCCATAATTGCTCATATATACCCCCAGGGGTAGGGCGGGGCCAAACTTTTGGTTTTAAACTTTTCAATAGTAAACCAATTACTACTTTTTCCTAGCACAATTCTCGGGTGAGCGATGTGGCCCATGGGCCTCTTGTTATGCCTCCCTTCGAAGAAGGGAGGGCATATTGCTTTGCTGCTGTCTGTCAGCCCCCATCAGTTTCCGTTCATTTTCTTGGTGTGAAAATAAAGACTTCAATCAGCCAAACTTTTCCATGAAATTTATTAGGTCCCTACACTGTAAACCAAACTTTGCGACATTCTTTGCTGCTGGAAATATAAGCATTCATAAATGTATATAGAAATATAGTAAAGAGTGTTTTGGCAGTTTTTGTAACGGATACTTGCCCTAAGGTCTGCCTCTTTAGGGGTCCACCTTAGCAGTGTGATTTTGTGGTAAACGTGATCTAATAATTATATCGCCTATGCTTTTGTCTTTGCTATAAGCTATAATTGGTTCCGATGTAAATATTTCTTTGCATCTTGTGTCTGTTTTCATTTCGTTCCAGTATTTTAAGATGCGTTTTTTTTTATCCTTTGATTCGGGGATTATATTTTGTAACCATAACCAATTTATTGTGGAGTTTCAATTGGCTGTTACTTTTTTTTAGGATCTCATTTCTATCTGTTCCAATTATGCCTGTGATAATAGGATCTATTTCTGTATCAGAGTAGCCTCTCTTTGACAAGTGTTTCTTAAAGTCTTGTAGAATAATATTGAGAGCTGGGAGCAGAGGTTGCACATATTGAAATGACATTGGTATACAGATTTATCAATATCTAGGTCAAGTTCTTTTTTTGGTACAACTGGACCCTTTTGGACAGAGCTATGCCCCTTGCACTGTGAAAAATTGCAATAATTTGCAGTTTCTGTTCATTTTCTTTGCAGAGGTTGCACATATTGAATTGATACCTTGACTCTTAATAGTGTGACTTTAAAATCATCAGATATCATTAACTTCTTATTGGGAAGTGGTGTATCAAGTTCAATTTATGTCAAGCAAAGGTCAAGAGTCTTAAAAATTTTGGTCATTCATCTTTTCACATCAAAATTAATAGTGGTCATCACTATAGTGATGTAAGTTATATAATTATAGGATTCCAAAGATATAAACCCATCAACTTGAAGTGACATTTGATTGTGTGAGTATCATAAAGTCTTATCTAATAAAGATCAAATGTTATGGCCAAAATTAGAGATGTAAACAGAAAGAGCAAATAATGAAATGTTGACTTTTGATGGTATCTGTATAAAAATGTACTGCAACATGTACAGGTAAAAAATCTATCACTGCTGTATACAGGGTATTTTTGTCCCCCGTTATTTTCACACTTGCAAACAATATTGCCCTGTTTTTCAACCAGTTGCAGCTCTGTTTAAGATATTATGTTGTTGTCATTGCATTCCACCAGTTTTAAATTTGCCACCCATAAGAAGGGCAGATTTGCGGAAACAAAATGAGGGCAAAAATTTCCATGTATACAGTGTTCCTGAAACAATGCTCTATTGTGAATAACTGATCAGTGATAACAATACAAATCTGAATCATTTAGCATTTCATAATTTATTTATTTTTTGACTTTCTGCTTTAAAAATGAAACAATCACTATATCAATAAAAGTTGTATATTCACAATTGTAGTGTAAATATATCAAAAATTAAATATAAAACAACAGATGTACAGTAAATCTAATGTTGTTAAAAAATTATATCTAACACTGATAAAATATAAAAAGAAATAACAAGAAACAAATGAATTTAAAATCTTCCAAAAAATTATAGTGGTTTTGTTGCATGAGAATTTATTATTTTTACCATGACTGGAAAATGCACATTCCACTTCAGTTCTTAACAAAAATATTTGTAAATATTAAATTCACTTGATAAACATAAATGTATTTCTAACTGATGTAACTAATAAGGAGTGGTACTGTCTGATATCTAAAAACTTCAAATGATGGTCCCCATTCTGTAAACATTACTTTGCACTTTTAGTAATGTGAATAATTGGTAACAAGAGGCCCAGGGGCCACAGCGCTCACCTGAGCACATTGGCTAGGAAAAAGCACATATCAGACCAGAACTGAAAGTTCACTGGAGGAGGGGGGGGGGCAAACTGTATCCCCAGGGGTTCATGATTGGAACAAACTAGAATCTACACTACCTGAGGATGATTCCATATTAATATCACTAATCATAGCTTTGAGGTACTTGAAAAGATGATTTTAAAAGGTTTTCCTATAAATCCCTATGTAAAACTTGGGTCAGCCATTTTGGCCCCACCCTAGCCCCAGGGATCATGATTTGAACAAACTAGAATCTACACTACCTGAAGATGATTCCATATTAATATCACTAATCATAGCTTTGAGGTACTTGAAAAAGATGATTTTAAAAGGTTTTCCTATAAATCCCTATGTAAAACTTAGGTCAGCCATTTTGGCCCCACCCTAGCCCCGAGGGTCATGATTTGAACAAACTTGAATCTACAATACCTGAGGATGATTCCACATGAGTTTCATCTTTCCTGACCCAGTGGTTCTTGAATAGAAGATTTTTAAAGATTTTTCCTATATATTCCTATGTAAAACTTGGGTCGGCCATTTTATACCCTAGCCCTAGGGGTCATGATTTAAATAAACTTGAATCTACACTACCTGTGGATGATTCCACATGAGTTTTATCTTTCCTGGCCCAGTGGTTCTTAAGAAAAAGATTTTTAAAGATTTTTCCAATATATTCCTATGTAAAACTTGGGTCATTCCCACCCTAGCCCCAGGGGTCATGATTTGAACAAACTAGAATCTACACTACCTGAAGATGATTCCATATTAATATCACTAATCATAGCTTTGAGGTACTTGAAAAGGATGATTTTAAAAGGTTTTCCTATAAATCCCTATGTAAAACTTGGGTCAACCATTTTGGCCCCACCCTAGCCCTGGGGGTCATGATTTGAACAAACTTGAATCTACAATACCTGAGGATGATTCTACATGAGTTTCATCTTTCCTGACCCAGTGGTTCTTGAGAAGATTTTTTAAAAATTTTTCCTATATATTCCTATGTAAAACTTGGGTCGGCCATTTTAGCCCCACCCTAGCCCCAGGGGTCATGATTTGAACAAACTTGACTCTACACTACCTGAAGATGATTCCAAATTAATATCACTAATCATAGCTTTGAAGTACTTGAAAAGATGATTTTAAAAAGTTTCCCTATTAATCCCTATGTAAAACTTGGGCCTGCCATTTTAGCCCCATCCTAGCCCCGGGGGTCATGATTTGAACAAACTTGAATCTACAATACCTGAGGATGATTCCACATGAGTTATTACCTGGCCCAGTGGTTCTTGAGAAGAAGATTTTTAAAGATTTTTCCTATATATTCCTATGTAAAACTTGGGTCGGCTATTTTGGCCCCACCCTAGCCCCGGGGGTCATGATTTGAACAAACTTAAATCTACAATACCTGAGGATGATTCCACATGAGTTTCATCTTTCCTGACCCAGTGGTTCTTGAATAGAAGATTTTTAAAGATTTTTCCTATATATTCCTATGTAAAACTTGGGTCGGCTATTTTGGCCCCACCCTAGCCCCAGGGGTCATGATTTGAACAAACTTGAATCTACTCTACCTGAGGATGATTCCACATGAGTTTTATCTTTCCTGGCCCAGTGGTTCTTGAGAAGAAGATTTTTAAAGATTTTTCCTACATATTCCTATGAAAAAATTTCTTTTTAGCCCCACCCTATTTTCTCTTCATGATTTAACAAACTTAACATCACATTACCTGATGATGATTCCACATGAGTTTCATCTTTCCTGGCCCAGTGGTTCTTGAGAAGAAGATTTTTTAAAAATGCCATTAATTTTTCTCACCATAATTATCTCCCCTTGGAAAAGGGCGTGGCCCTTCATTTGTACAACTTTTCCCCTTTTCCCAAGGATGCTTTGTGGCAAGTTTAGTTGAAATTGGCCACGGTTCTTGAGAAGAAGTCGAAAATGTGAAAAGTTTACGGACAGACAAACTTGTGTACAAAGCATCCTTGGGTAAAGGGGAGCTAAAATTGTGGGGGTTATTCTGCAACAATAAGATGATGTACATGTACTATTAATATCAAACAAACTGTATCCAAAGGTATTGATACACAAAGAAACATAAAAAAAATATTCCAAAATACATGTGTATTTAGCAAAAATAAAAACCATACATATTAAAATTTCCACCTTTGCGGGCACGTACTGTTACTTTGAAATAATGAAAGGATATCACAGAGTATGTTGCGTATTTTTATCTCATAATTCCATTAATATTTTGAGACAAGTGAACAATTTTCTTGCTTACTAGGGAATAAAAAATTTAAATTTTATAGAAGGGAAGGAAAACTTAACAAATATTAAATATGCCTGAGTATACAAATTAAAGTGAACAGAAAATCTAGGTTAATCCTTCGATATTAACTTGTCTGACATTTTATAGCTGTAACATTTTAAGAACAATATAAAGATGAAAGTTTACACATGTACTAGTATTTAGGTCCTTATAGCATTATCAAAGCATCAAGAACAGAAGTCATTCCATTTCACTTTGCCGGATTCTCTGGCTGCTTTCTTATGGCACCCCACTTGAACCAGTTTCAGGTTTTCCCGAGTGAAGAGTAATCGGTACAGGAGATCTGCGTTGAGAGTTTGATGTTTCTGCTTGTTACGAGCTGCTTCTATAAGAGTTGGCATCACCTCTCGAGATTTTTCAATTCTAAAAGGAAGTAATAAATACACAGTGTTTATATGTATAAAAGTAATACACCTGTAGATGGTAATAAATTACAGCATGGCTCACTTCAGATATTTGTTATTACACTATGAATGGCTCAAATCAACAATATTAACCTATATTTGTAGTGAAAGATTGAGATATAAATTAATATGGATTCCAAGATACAACATGTATGTATCGTCAAAACCATCATCTAAGCATTGCCAAGTTTAATCCCTCCATTGCTTAAAGTAAATTTGGAATACCAAGAGTTTAACCATACAATGTACATTTTCTTTTTAGATTTATTTTCTCTTCATATCTAAACCAGTTTATTTAACATTATCATCAATGTTTATGTTGTTTTTAGCTCCCCTGAGCTTAAAGATCAACTGAGCTTTTCTGATCACCAGTTGTCCGTCCATCCATCCGCAACTTTTCACATTTTCAGCTTCTTCTCAAGAACCACTGGGCCAATTTTAACCAAACTTGGTACAAAGCATCCTTGGGTAAAGGGGAGTTAAAATTATTAAAATGAAGGGCCAAGCCCCATTCAAAAGGGAGATAATCAAGAGAAGACAAAATTAGAGTGGGGTCATTTAAAATTTTCTTCTCAAGAACCTCGGGGCCACAAAAGCTGAAACTTATGTGGAAGCATCCTGAGATAGTGTAAATTCTTAAAATCATGACCCCCAGGTAGAAGCATCCTGGGGGTAGTGTAGATTCTTCATGGTCCAAATAATGATTCCCATGGGTGGGGCCACAATAGGGAATCTAAGTTTTACGTTATAACATATAACATATATAACATTCTCAAGAACCACTGAGCCAGAAAAGCCAAAACTTATGTGGAAGCTTCCTGGGGTATTGTAAATTCTAAATTGTCCAAACCATGACCCCTGGAGGAATGATGGGGCTGCAATAGGTATTACAGGACAAGGGGGGAAATCTGGTAAAGTACAGCATGGCCAAAGTTACTCAGGTGAGCCATATGCCCCATGGGTCTCTTGTATGTTATATTTATCTCCATTAGTACTTATTAGCTCACCTGACCTGAAGGCTCAAGTGAGCTTTTCTGATCACATTTTGTTCGTCGTCCATCCGTCTGTCTGTCTGTCCGTCTGTAAACTTTTCACATTTTCGACTTCTTCTCAAGAACCACTGAGCCAATTTTGACCAAACTTGGTACAAAGCATCCTTGGGTGAAGGGGAATTTAAATTGTTAAAATGAAGGGTCAAGTCCCCTCACAAGGGGAGATAATCAAGAAAAGACAAAAATAGGGTGGGGTCATTAAAAAATCTTCTTCTCAAGAACCACTGGGCCAGAAAAGCTGAAACTTACATGGAAGCATCCTGGAGAAACATCCTGAGGTAGTGTAGATTCTAAATTGTTAAAATCATGACCCCCGGGGGTAGGATGGGGCCACAATGGGGAATCAAAGTTTTACATAGAAATATATAGGAAAAAATCTTTGAAAATCTTCTACTCAAGAACCACTGAGCCAGAAAAGCTGAAACTTATGTGGAAGCATGCTGGGATAGTAAAGATTCTAAATTGTTCAAATCATGACCCCCGGGGTTGGGCGGGGCCACAATGGGGAATCAAAGTTTTACATAGAAATATATAGGAAAAATCTTTGAAAAACTTCTACTCAAGAACCACGGGGCCAGAATTGTTTAAACTTCAGTGGAATCATCACAGGGTAGTCTAGATTCTAAATTGTTATAATCATGACCCCAGGGGGTTGGGCGGGGCCACAATGGGGAATCAAAGTTTTACATAGAAATATATAGGAAAAATCTTTGAAAATTTTCTTCTCAAGAACCAATGTGCCAGAAAAGTTGAAACTTAAGTGGAAGCATCCCAGGGTAGTGTAGATTCTAAATTGTTCTAATCATGACCCCCAGGGGTTGGGCGGGGCCACAATGGGGAATCAAAAGTTTTACAATGTTGAATCAAAGCATCCTATGGTAGTGTAGATTTCAAATTGTCTAAATTATGATCAGTTAGGTAGGGTGGGGTCACAATATGTATTACAAGGGGGAAATCTGGTAAAGAACGTAATGGTCAAAGCGTCTTAGGTGAGCGATGTGGCACATGGGCCTCTTGTTATTGATAAGCTAATTATTTCTTAGGACATGAAAAACTATAGAATTGTAATTGTCAATGTGAAATCTTACATATGGTCTAAATTCCACAGTCCAAATAACTGTCTATACCCCTTGGAAGCGTATGGATTTATCGTGTGATACTTGTCACAGTTATCCATGTCAAACGGCCCTTCACATCTAAACCAGCCCTGGGCGTCACACATTCGACCCTTCTCATTGGCTGTACGGTCGAAATAAGACGAGTTATAATCCGACTTTTTAAGCTTCTGCATCACTTCCTCCAAGACTTCTAACAATTCTTGTTTGCTATCTTTGTCAGCTTCCTTCTCTATTTGATCCTTTGCCTGCAATAATTTCAGTTTAAAGAACACTAAAAGTTTATAAATTGTAATAGAAATACTCTATAAAGTAAAATAAAAACTAACAAAATACACTGCCGTTTTTAAAACTCTTGTCAATCTATGAATTGTCATTTGCATAATAAAATTTTTTAAAAAATTAAATAACTCACTGTAACATAGTAGCTGCGTAATCTTGTCTGTGCACTGTGTCTCATCAATTCACTCTTTGTCTTATATTTCTTATTAAGTCCTAAAATTAAATTTATTTAAAAATATAAAATATTTAGTTATGTTTGTTTATAAGTATTAATCACTACAGAGCTAATTAGTATTCTCTATTTAAGTGTCCACCAAATGAATTATTATTGCACGAAGTTCTGTATACTGCACACCATGTAGCTGCAATAATGTAGCCCTCTCCAATTTTTTAATCTGATATTTTCTGGAGAGGGCTACAATTCCACAGCAACTTACTTCTAATAAGACAAAATTTTTATTCACTGTCGACATCATAGCTCGTTAAATGCGAAAACCATGTAAAATAAATCTGTGTCTTTACTTGTTGCGTTACTCAGCAGCCATGACAGTTCACGCGTGACGTACTGAGACTTGCGCTTGAAATTTAGAATAACTCAATAAAGCAAATGTCGATGTTTATAAATAATTGTGATGAATAATAACACTAAAATTCGATAAATAAAATCATTCTATGTGTCATTTTTTCGCAAACAGTGATATTAAGGCTTAAAATAAGGTAATTCCAAAGAAATCCTCTCCCTATAGATCCTTAATCTCATTGGCTGTCCCAAAATAAAATCTGTCAAGGTCAGTAAAAATGGCAGATAAATTTAAGTTGTGATGTTGACACACACGAAAAATACGGGTATATGGATTGTTCTGTATATTTTTGGATCGATTTATGTCTGGGATAACTACATTTTGGAAGACCAGGTAAGACATATAAATAAAACAGTCGTTTACTGACAATTTGAGCCGAAATGTGTGTGGGAGTGAATCACTCCCGCTTTGCACCATTACGGAGTTCCTAAGGAGTTGTAGCCCTCCCAAAATAAAAAGGGAGAGGGCTACATTATTGCAGCTACACACCATGGTGTTCATAACTTAATCTCAGCTGAATATTCATATTGATGGCTTCATGCAGATAACATGGCACCTAGCTAATAATAACTTGGCCCTTATTTTCTGTCTTACCTTCAAACCAGTCTTCATGATCTTGTCTTTTCTCAGATGAGACGTTGGTCTCTAGGAGTTCCAGATATTGGGAGATGATGTGGATCTTCTCGGGCGCGTTCTCCGCCTCCAGTAGATCTCGGATCTGGGAGGCAATCTCGTTCTTCCTCGTCGCACAATAAAACTTACTGAGAGCATCATGAATCAAAGCACCAGCTATAAAAGATATTAAATCAGGTTATATATCGTTGACATAGTGATCTACTGGTACAATCAACATTGAAACATCATTTATAGTGAACATGTTTATAATGAAGTGAATCTTAGTGAAGTGGTTTTCATTCCATGTGTGTTTTGAACATATGGTAAATATACCGGTTATAACTAATTACACTTATAACGGTTATTCAAAGCAAACTTTGTCTGTCCATGGCATCATAAGCATGTTTTACTGTAATACAAAATTCATGTATTTTTTTTTTTCATCTAAATAAACTGAAGATTTTAAATGGAGTCTGATTAATTTGTTTAATACGATTATAAAGAACTGAGCCCATTTAAGGATATACCCCCTCTCCAGGTCTCTCCTTTCTTTAAGAAGACAAACACAGTTTGAGCAGGTAGCTTCCTGAAGAACTTGTCATCTGTAACCTCTGTACCATCATCTTCAATTACAATGGTGACTTTATCTGGATCTAACTGTAAAATCAAAAATATTAACCTGTGGATTACTTACAAGTACCATGATCAATTACCTCACCTCACCTCACCTATCCTCTTCAAGCCCGCTGGCACATAACGCCCTTTGATCAATAATTATTGACCATGATCATGATGATCAATAACAAACATTCAATCAAAACCTTTTTTTTTTTATTTAATTCATTTTGGAACAAAAGCTATCAAGGATAATCAAATTATAATCATTATATACAAGTGTTAACAATGTACTGTTACAGGAAAGGAAAAAATATATGGCTGGACAGGGAATTGAACCCAGGATCGACCACTGCATTACTAGTCAGGTGCTCTACTGACTGAGCTACCCAGGCCGATATCCACGGCTCAAACAATTACAATTACATTCCTCCTTCCTTAAACAGGTTGGGACCACTCGCCCAAATGGGATATAATATCCTGGTTGGGACATAATTCCCATATCGGATATAAATTTACAGTGCAAAAAATGAAATTTTTTATTTTGGCTATAGATATCATAAATCTGCATCAATATACTTAAAAAGGAATAACTTTTGGCAAGCATTAGTTTTTCTGCAACTCTACAGTTTTTTAGATCAATCCCAAAGAAGTTAAGGAACTTCTGAGGGATCAATCTCCTAAACAATGAGCATACAAAAAAGCTTGTCAACAAAAAGTTATTCCTTTATGAGTACCCTGATGCGAATTTATGATATTTATAGCCAAAATAAAAATTTAATTTTTTGCACTATAAATTTATCTCCCACTTGCACAGGCACCTGCATGACGTTGGCGATTTCTCGGATTGTTGAAGCAGTAGATCGAGTTTGACGAGGGATTTTCAATATTTGCAAGTGTGCCCTTCTGTCTGCAGTGTCTGTAAGTTTAGACCTCGAAAGACTGGCCACAGAAAGAATATGGTTGCAGGGAATTTATTTGACGGAGTTTCAGACGAAAATACAAGTGGACGTGACAGACCTAGAAAAATTCAAGATGGCGCCAATGGGGACCTTGTTTATTATTAGGTATGTGTATATTTTTTTTTATTAAAAGAAAAATAAGTAATGTCTAAACAGGGCTCTCGATTCTCTAAATCTGGGGCCGATATTCGGCCCCATTCCCAATGCAAAAAAGGTACCTTTTTTCCCAAAACAAAGGTGTAAATTTCCCAATTTCTAGAGCTAAATATTAATTAAAAAATGAAAGTCCATGAAACTTAATCGCAAAAAAAAACATAGGTAATCAAAGATTACGAAGCTCACCTCGACGAATGTTATCAGTTTAAGTAATGCAAATCTCACATCATATTTTCTTAATATTAAGACTATTCTTGGTTGTGTTTAACCCCTTACATGGCATATACACATTTCTATGCGTTGCAAAAACATGTAGAAACAAATATTTATAACTGTTAATACTGCAGATATCAAGGACTTCAAGTTCATTTGGATTGATCTGTTCCCAAAACTTTAACCTGGTCTCTTGTAATACAAGATGCATTATCCATGCAAGTTTGGTTTAGCTAGGGCTTATAGACGTGCACAGACCTAGAAAAATTTTGGTTTAGCAATAGATGGCGCAGATCCAGCATGGGGACCTTGTTTATTATTAGGTATGTGTATATTTTTTTTAGGGCTTATAGTTAAAATGAAAAATCAATCCAGTAATGTCTGGTGCAAGTTTGGTTTAGCCCTTATAGTTACTTGGGAATATTATACCCATCCGAATCGGGCTATTGCAAGTTTGGTCCATAGGGCTTATAGTTCCTGTGGACCTGCTCTAAAAACTTTAACCTGGTCACTCATCTGGAAAATGTAGGTCAGATCCAGCATCCGAAGCAAGTCTGGTAGTGTACATCCCTAGATGCATCATCCATGCAAGTTTGGTCCAGGTAGGGCTTATAATTCCTTGGGAGTGGACTGTTAAATGGTTTTCACCAGCAATCTGGTAGTGTACGCATCATCTATGCAAGTTTGGTTCAGGTTTATAGTTCCTTGGGAATGGACCTGCTCCAAAAACTTTAACCTGCTCCAAAAACTTTAACCTGGTCACTCATCTAGAAAATGTAGGTCAGACAACCTCCGAAGCAAGTCTGGTATGTAACATCATCATCCATGCAAGTTTGGTTCGGATGTTAAAAAAAAACTTTAACCTGCTCCAAAAACATTTCCTGAAAATGTAGGTCAGTCAAATGTAGGATCATCCATGCAAGTTTGGGAGTTATAGTTACTTGGTCTTGCTCCTAAAACTTTATAGTATATTTTAGTCGAGGTAAAAAAACCAAGCAAAACACACTTGCATATGAAAGTGAAACTGTACCACTATTTTATTAGTTCACGCCAAATGCATTTGTAAACTGGTTCGGGGAACCAGGTTATTGTTTTTACAAAAATTGTGTACTAACTATGAGTGCAGAGTATCTTGTCATGTAGTTTCGACATAAACATCATTTTGGTTTCAAAAATAGACATTTCGTTTAAACATTAGTAAGCTGCACCTAGAAACATACCCACGCTTCGGCATGTTCAATCTGGCTCTGTATTGGTAAGCAAAGTTGTCCATGTGATCGAGGAAATTCGGGACTATGTGACTAGCATCTGTCACTCAGAAAGACAGATAACCGCAATATCAACACTCAAAGATGGTTATGACAAAGCCAATGTACTTTCATAAATAGCTTACATAGCCATGTTTGTTCTGTTTAACTGTTTATTGAAAACCAGAGTTAAATTGATGACAAAATGATAGAAATTAGAGCAAAATTTGAGGATTTTTTAAAATGAATGTTGGTTATCCAACTTTTCCCAAAATGACGATAATTTTCCCAATTTGAACGGCCCCAGCCCCAGTCCCAAAAAGTGGTGTGAGAGCCCTGCTAAAGATAATTTTCTAAAAAAAATGGATGCCTGTGCCCACTTGGGATATTATACCCCAATCGGGCTATTCATATCCCATTTGGGCGAGTGGTCCCAACCTGTTAAATGGTTTTCACCCTCAAAAACACGACCCAAGTTTTTATTTGCCCCTGGCAGGACTTTCACCTGCAATTCCAGGGGTGGTCAATGGCACCAAATCTGTAACAGGAAAGGAGAAAATGAATGGCTGGACCGGAAATCAAATGCCGGGGACCCTTGCATCTCTAGTCAGGTGCTCTGAGCTACACAGCTGGGGTGATATCCACACCCTAAACCATTAAAGTACTTCAAGGACCCTTAATTGGTTTGATTAACTAATTGAATCGATCATTACCACCAAAAAGGTATACCTGGTAGTGCTTGCTCATTAAACAGCTGCATGCACTGTTAAAAAAGAACATGTGGTAAATATCAACCTTAATCACTGTTAAAAAAGACCCCTACTTTCAAAATACATTTTTATAGTAGGTACATATATTAAAAGAAGATAAATAATTCGTGATAAGCCCCTGTGCCTTAATTGCTCGATTTTTTCTTCAGCACTCTGAATATAATTTATAGAACTCTAAATAACCATTTTGTTGAATTCAAAATGAAATAGTGGATACCACAGCAAAATATTAGAAAATTGGTGTACCTTCAGTTTCTGGGCACCTTTCTCCAATAATTCTTTGAAGTTTTTGGCTGTCACTCCAATTCTTTGCTCCCGTTTTACATCCTGGACCTTATAAGCCCTCATTCCGCCATTGAATAATGACAAAAACCGGTCTAGTATAAATGTCATTTAACCGTATGTTTTGATATTTAAATCATTCAATCTTTTGTTCTTCTTTCATTTTGATGACAACACGTGCTAAATTTAGTAACTCGTTTCATTTTGATATTTCCCGCCTTAAAAATTTACTTTTTCTGTTGTGATAAAAATGATTGTTAGACATTTTAGATCAATATAAAGTAAATGAGAAGTGGAATGAAAATTTTAAGAGAAAAAATTACTTTGGTTCACATTTCCCAACTTTCGGCAAATCTCGTTACTGCGAGACTTCGGTGCGCCATTGATGTCAATGTACACAAACTGAATGTTGTCAAGTTAATGTAGGTTCAATTTAATTTCTTTAATTTTATAGGATTTCATAAGTAGTCCATCACATTAATGGGTTTAACGTTGCTCTCTAAGGTTTCATTTTAGGAAGTACAAATGTAATTTGATACAGTAAAAATGCGTGCTTATGATTGTTAGTGACTCATGACATATTTTAGCGGGCACTTGACTATGCAGTTTGAAAAAAATAATTATGGACATGCCCAGTGCAATTTCTTGATTTAGCTTTATAGCTCGAAATAGCAATATAACTTTATTAAGATATTTAAAATAGCTTGATCTAGCTATTTATAATGTAATTTTTCACACACACAAAATTGTATACACAAAAAAAATCAAAGTTAATTATCATTCATATATCTACTATGGGCTTGCAACTATCTAAACATCCAAACAACATTACAACCTATGAATACTACTAAGCTAAAGTAAGTAATTAAAGAAAATGTAGCATAAAGGCAATGAATTGTAGCAATAAAATGCACATTGATAATTCTGATAAATTATCGAGTTATGACTGTTGTATGATTGAAGATTTGTTTTTTGTTATTTAACTTCCTCTCGAGCGTAGACGACTTTCACATTTACAAAAGTTATTCCCCTTTGCGGGGTCAAGTGGCGTAAGACGCTGTTTTCCCTCTATAACTTTACCAACTTTATGGGTCAGTATCTTAGAAATAAAATAATAAATTATGTTTTTCATGTTGCCCCATACTCTGGCAATACAGGCACAGATCGAAAAAGACAATTAAGTAACGGGAGATAACTCTTAGGAATGTGAAATTCGTCTATTTTTCACTCATGTGGAGACGCCACCACTTGCTGGTGGAGAGCTGCAAATTTTGACCTATACTTAGCACCCAGGGCTGTTGAGCAGCGATGGATCTTTTTCATGCCAGAACTTACTGCAACACGGGACCTCGATTAATGCAGTCTCCATGTCCCACAGTGGGATTTTTTAATTCACAGAAATAGAAGTAAAAAACCTCGCACAAATTTTCTAATGATATCAGCATTTAAAAAATACAGTGAAAGGAATTTAATCTAAATGATGAAATCTATCAATAAATGATTTGATGCTGCAGTGAAGACAAATTTAGTGCCATTACTTAGACCATTCGTGATGAATTATAATATTATTATTAATAGTACATGTAATTTGTCTGATGTTCAAATTTATATCACACTTAAATATAAAAAAAACATATATCTACTAATCTACATATATTTCTTAAATAAAAAATATGTATTGATATATACTTTGATATATACTAATATTGAAGTCATTAGAATGCCTATTTTGTACATCTTGATATTAATGATATTGAGCTCTAAAATGGATTTAAACGTAATATTTTCTTATAATGGATGCATACAATTATTTTCTTATAAATTAGGGACACCTACAATTTTAGATAAAAGTTTCTTTGAATTCCAAGAGTTCTTGTTGCAGACACTTGAATCTTAATGTTAAGAAAGTTGGACATGAATTGGTGGAATTTAATTTGAACTTGTGAATATGTTTTATTTACAAGTGAATTGGGAAAACAATAGCTGCTCCAATTTTCAATCTCTAAAATTATCCATTAACTATGTTATAGACTTAACCTACAAATGTATATACTTAACAATACATGTATAAGTAAGTTTTGTTTGATATTTAGTTGTTATTTGTGTGTAGAGATTTGGAATCTGTCGGGTATGACTGCATTTTGAGGGTTTACACCATTTTTGCTTCATCATCACCTTCATAAGTTTTCAATTCAAATTCTTCAAGCCCTGTTCCAAGGGAGTCCTGTTATTAGGCCAGTCCAGCGTAGTAAGAGTTGATGATAATTGTAAAATAAATATTTAATGAGTTTCTCCCTTCTGACATTTCACATTGAACGACAGGTGACATAACATAATCAATACATGTGCTTCTGCAAGTGTAAAATTGAAGCCCTGTACTTGTTTAGTATCAAGTTATTGACAGATCAATTGTTTAATAAGTGCAGAACAAGTAACAGTAGATTGAAGTACAAGCCATTATAGTATATTTAAATACCATGCAAGTAAAAACTTACTATAGACCCATTAGAGAACTTTAAACCTATGAAAGGAGGAGGCTAACATTGATCAATAAAATTTAACATTGTTGTAAGCTGAGCATCTTTTAATGTTTTATCCAGGCATACAACATTATTGGTGATCTCAATGTAGATATGGTTTTATCTGTATATTGTTATGGTTATTTTTATAGATTGGTGTGTCCATTACAATGTAAAGTAACATGCCGCGTAAGTTACCGTTCCGAGTGATTCATGTGTCGGGTCAAGATGAGAGTTATAGGGCAGCAGAGCTTAATTATCACAGCCCCCTAACGAAGGGATGGCAGTCATCAAGGTACGTCTGCACTAAAGTTAACACACAATTCAGTTAGCCTGGCTATGGTATATATAATTTTCAGTGTCTAAAAATGTCCTTTTCTTATTTACACAAAAGTTTTTTCATATATGGCTGGAACTCAATCAAGTGAGTTAACTTAGGAATCTGTTTTTGAAGTTTCATAGCATAAAGGACATTAATTGGCATCCATCACATATAAGGAAGATGGCATATTTAAAAATCATGAATCTTTGATTACAGACATGAAAAGCCAGCTATATATGGATACATTTTGTCCTGTTAAATTGTAAATTTTATGCATGAGCGTTAAATTTGTCTCAAAGTTTCATCTGTTTAAATTATGTCAGTCTTCTGATGTATTGGTGGAAGTCAGTAAAGTGAGTTGTAGAAACTCAAATCAGTAGAGAATAGATCTCTCAAGGCATACTGCACTCAGTGTAATGTAGGATTAAATGTGAGTGGTAGTATATCCACTTTTTTCTTGCAATGTATGATTCAGTGCTATATTAGCTCTGACATTTTAGGTCACCTGAGTTAAGTGATCTTTAAATTTGCTGTGTTTTTTTCTGTTCTTGTGTGTATCCATCCTGCGTTGATCATTACTTTGAACATTTTCAGCTTCTTCCCTGGAACTGGTGAACATATTTCAATGAATGTTGATATGTGTATCAAGTATTTATGAGCAAAGGGGATTTATTTCATGCCCCCCACCCCTTTTGGACGTGAGGGTTGGGACCCATACCATCAAATTCCTTGGTCATCGGTTACTCTGTTAGGGTTGGTCTCTATTGGTTTAATAGTTAAAATGCCTAAATTCTTTAAAGTCTTCTTTTCAGCTTCTGGGAATCGATCAAACTAAGTGCATTATTTGGATGAGGACGGGCTTCTTCCAAAATTTGTGAAATTAATGGCTCTAGATTTTAGGTTATGGATTTTGATTTTGGCTCAGTTGGTTATATAGTGAAAATGCATTCACTAATTATATATGCTCCAAGGAGTCTAGGAGACAAACAGAGTTCAAAGTGAATAAGCATGCAACCATGTTTTAATCAGATTTTGGAAATTTTCTAGATCTTGCATTCTAGATCTTGCATATACCTATCAAATGTTATTCAAAGACATAGAGATGACAGTGTTAAAGGGGTTGCTGAGTGTGCTCAAGTGGTAATTTCTTTTTATAGGTACTGCCTCTACCCACAAGACATTGTCTTACAGCTAGAAAACAGATCCAGACTGCGGAAAATTCAGATCCTCTCCCACCAGTACCTGATAGGTAAGTGGCCCCTGGCTCCTTACTCGGCAACTGATGTTAGCCATACCAGTTTTACAGTGGAGTAGATATAAAAAAGAAAGTATTATATGCTGTCTAAATTTTTCAGCTACAAAAATTGAGTTCTTTGTTGGGGATGTACCTGATGAACAGACACAAGATTTGGAAAATGCACGCTACACACGACTTGGGTATGTAAAAGGGCTTTAAGCCTCAGGAGATATTTTTCTGCTCATTATTTGCAAGAAGTAAATTATAAAACTTGGTTTTTGTCTGGCTAGGTATGTGTCACTGTCAGACAATGAGAAGACCGGGTATAAGGCTCGCGAGCTGAAGTCAGTACACGTGGATGCCATTGGACTGTTCCTCAAACTGAACATCCACAAAAACCACATCAACAAGTACAATCTCTATAACCAGGTACTGCACACAAATTTATTATGTGAAAATGAGGAAATGTGAAAGTTTTAATGTGTAGAATATATCATTAAGTTTACTTTTAATCAGAAAATAAATTGTTATCAACATGCTTGTTTTTTACAAAAAAATATTGTAAAATACTGATGAAAAATTTTAAGTTTAAATTTATAATCCATGATGTAAGAAATTTTAAGTCAAAATCATTTTTTTCTTTACTAAATGAATTTCGTTGACAGGTTGGTATCATTGCTATCAATGTGATTGGAGATGAAATCAAACAGAGACCTACAGATATCACAGACCCTGTAAGTCTCCATGTTTATTGCTCAAAATGAAGAAGATTTCAAAACTCAGTGGCTCATGCTATCAGTTTATCATTCTGATTTTATTTCATTCTCCCAACAGGATATGTTTTTGGATAATGAAAAGAGGAAGGCCATTGAGGGTGACCCTTCATTAGAAGGACTCTACAACAAGTGAGTTGTTATATGATTCTATTGGGGAGATTATTGACAGAAATATATTATTCAAGTTTAAATAGTTTGAAATTTTCAGCGTTAGAGTAACATTATGCTCAGCTATTAAATTGCTGACAGATTTGTATAAAAAGAATTGCAAAAGAGACCTTTCTTGGTAAATTCTGAAAAGATGGATGTTGATTTGAATTACTGTAGACGTACTTTTTTCCACGGGGTCATAATTCCGCGGAGTCTCAATTTCTGTTT